TTGCGTAGATTTTAGTATAAGGAAAAGCCGAAACAGATATGTCACCAATATTTGGTTTTGGAATTTCATAGTATGATGGACACAGTGACAAATGCATAATAGGAATGAGGACACAATCACCACCTGATGTGAGTTCTAAAGCCAAAAATGTATGATTTGTATGCTTTCTATAATACAGCCAAACCAAGGTGATGATAAGTAAAATGAAACTTAAAATACCAATGATAATAAAAGCATGAATTAAAGAAAATTCATCCATTAACCAAGTTTGAGAATCCGATTCAGGTGTAGCAGTAGTGACAGCTCTATATACTAAATTAAATGCTGGTTGTGTCAAAGTTTGAGATTTGACTTGATGTACACTTTGCAGAACGAGTAAAGCCATGCCCATTTTTCTCAATTTACAAAACAAAAACATACAAAATGCAAGTGCTATGCTAGCTATGCTAATAGCGACTAGAGTTATCAAATCATTAGTTGTAGGCCAAGGTTGGGAAATATCTATTTGTCCATCTATTAAGGGTTCTGCTAAGTGTTGGAAAATTTTCTTTTCTTTCTTTGTAGCTTGTACCATTTTTGTCAAATTTAGATGACTTTTTGCATCATTAGCCAAAACTTGATTAAATGTATGATTGAACATTTGGAATTCAGGAATTGAAAATGAAATGGGATTTTTAAAAGTGGAATTTGGCCAAATATGGGAAATTTTGGAGTCTTCAAAAAATTCCTGTAGTAATGCCAAATTTACAGGGTGGGAAATTGAGAATGATTTTGTTTGATTATAACAGTTAACAAGCCTAGGTGCAAAATAGAGACTAGCTGTTGTTAGAGAACACCTACAAGGAATGTTTAAAATACAGAATTGACATCCAGGAAGGTTCTTTTGTTTATCAGGACAATCTAGAGAAACTTGTGGACTGTGATATAGCAAAACTGAAGTAGGGGTTAATTCAATGATTGATGGTTCAAATTTGTAGTCCTGAAGATAGCGAAAATGACAATGGCGATTGACGTCTTTAGCATTGTTAGTGTACAGTGCTAATACACAACTCTTTTTAGTACTAGGTGTTAGTGGGTAGTTAGTATTACACACTACTGATTTGTCCTGCTTACAGTTTATCAAATCTTTGTCTTTTAATGAAATGTATTTATCCTGATGCTGAGTTATAGCAAAATAGTCTGGTAAGGACAATAGTTGGGTTGCTTGACCTTTAGTAGCATTGCTTGACATAGGAACAGGCATGGAGATAACTTTAAACATTTGCATGCTATTTCGCTGAGAAGAGATAGGAAATTTAATGGTTACATACAGTGTTGTTCCTTGCCTGGCATAAACAAAATGACCTTCTGAGTAAAAATAAGAAGGGTTAGAGTGTACCAAATGAAATCCTTTGTAGGATTTATCTAAATAGTCATAACACCTAATTTTCTATTTTAATAAAAATTTGTGGGAAGACAGTACCAAGATTCATCAACAACACGTGCAACATCGTCAAGACGGTCCATCCGTCGTTTCCAATTTATAATTATTTTAATTCGATGAATATTTAAAGGATACAATCGGGCTTAGTCCGACTGAAAAATAAATGCCAACAGTTCCTGAAATTCTGGTTTTTTTTTTGTTTGTTTGTTTGTTTGTTTGCTTTTTTTTTGCATTATCTCTGAAAAAAATTATCTCTATGACAGATTTAGATTAATTTCAAGTACTAGTATTATAGCTACCATCATTTATTATTCTCCGCTTTCCATAACCTCAAATTTTGAAAATTATACAGGATGTTCACATACAGGTATGAAACGGCGTATTTAATAAGATATTTGAGATGGCTCGAACTCCTGGAAAAAATTAAGAGCCATTCTCTGTAATGACTTGAACTTTTATATAGGAGCTGTGGCACGCATAGTCTCAGAATTTCTCCAAACTCTGTATGGTAAAAGTCATTGATACCTTAAACTGAAATCAGGCAAAATTTGGTTGCTATGCTTTATAGTTACCATGGCAACATGTCTTAAAGTTTGAAAAATGGACTTTTTTAGCATGTTTAGAGCCCCATAGTTAACATTTGCGGCAAAGCAAACAATTGGCAATGACTGTTTCCAAAAGTTGAAGGTCAGATTTCTCAAATGCATGATAAACATGTCTGGTAAATCAACTATTACATACGTTACTATGGTAACAAACTATTCAAAAGTAAAAAAAAATATTCATTGAATTTTATAAAGTCATACACGTAAAAATAAAAAGCAATTATAGGATGAAATGTGACAAAATAATAGAAAAAAGAGCCTTGAAACATAAACCAAGAACAAAATATGATATTTCATTTTGGTTGGCAATGGTTGCCAAGGTTTTTATACCACAGAGAGCCTTCAAAATAACACTCTGCATGTTTAAATCTGATCCTATCTTTTAAAAAAGCATATTTCCTCATAACTAATGATCAATTTTTAAAGATGTTGGTGTGCTCCTAGTTTTCCCATTTGAAAAAATTCAGATTAGATTCTTTAAATAGAGCGTTGCTATGGAAATATGCAGAAAATATATGCTTAAAAACCGGAAAATCATATTCTTTCCTTGGATACGTACCCTTAAATGTAGATTCCCAAAACTTTTATGATTGATATTTATTAACAGCTAACCTGACTTTTAATCTTGACTATCATCCAATCTCTAAGTGGATGCAAGAAGTTGTCACACAGGGTTTAATATTGATATAAAGTTCACAAAATCGAACATTTTCCCTTCTTGGTAACCATAGCAACAGTGTTGTTTTCTTCATCAAATTTTATCAATATATGATATTCAACTTCAGTTCTAACAGACAAGTACTATTCAAGCTGAGTCCTTTAATTTGTTTCTTGATTATATGGCAATTTAATTCTTAATGCAGCGAAAAATAATTCACTTTTAAGCACTGGTACTTTGTTTCCATGGTAACACTGCAAAGTAGCAATTATACCCAATTTTTCTTATGGTTTTGGTGATGCAAGGTCCTAAAGATGCATATTTGCCAGTCTTGAATTTTCATGTTTTTCCTCAAGACAGTAGCATTAACCCAATCTTAGTTACTGGTTTTGCATGGTTTCACTGTGTTACCATGGCAACCATAAAAGTTATTTATAGAATAATATTGCTTATACTTATATACTTAAGGTCAAACATTTTCATTGTTTTTCTTAAGTCGTTTATTGAGTTTGAGCATGTAACACCCACCATTAGTGAATACGGAGTGTTTTTCAGCATATTTCAGCATTTTAAATGTATTCCAAATGTACCCTTGGTTACCACTTACTTAGAGATATATTCTAATCAGTTTCTTTACAGTTTAAGTGACATCAAGGTGTCATCTTTTTGTGAGAATGATTTGTTTGCTTTTTCTAGTTTTTATTAAGCCACAGTTGAGATTTAAAGTGGCTGAAAATCTCGATTTTTCAAACTTTTCCGGCTGTTGCCATAGCAACCGAGACACATAGCAACGAAATTTTGTTTGATATTTGTTTCTGGTGTCAAGTACTAAGCATGGGTGAAGTTTCATCAAAATCGGTGACCATGCGTGGCAACGAAGTTTAAGTGGTTACAGAGAATGGCTATTAAAATCATGGGTAGTTGTTTTGAATCCTAAGCAGGCAGTCGGATGATCCGCTATGCATTATATATTCATGTAAAATACTGTCATTCCTACCCCAATCTCTGCCATGGCCCAAATGATAAAATGTAAACTTAATTGCAAATGAAATTCTTAAAATATCTTTGAATGGATTGATTTCTATTTTACAGACAATCGCACGTCGTTTTAATACATATAGGAGCTTTGTATGACGCAAGAGAGACATGTACGTTATTGACGTCATCTAGCAAAATGAACGTCGGAACTGACGTTACTACCGCTTAAACACAACTTTTTATCATAATTTGCGATGTATTACACGTAATTAGATATTAACAAGTTATATATTGTTAGAAAGATAAAGTTCTCAACTTCTGAGTGCGATAAACCTCAATTTAGTTCAAGGTTCGGCGAAAATCAACCAATAACGTACTTTGTTCTTTGACATGATACTTTATTATAAATGGTATGGTACCGTATCTAATAACCATTCTGGTTGAAAGGATTGTATTATTTTTTGTAATAGTTTTCTTTTTAATTTCTATTTTTGCCCAACGTGGTTAATTTCCACACTTCTTTATCCATAATTGCTGATATCTACCTGAAAATTTCCACTACAGGCTTTAACTATGGCATATATAATAAATTTCTTTCCAAAAAAGATTAGATGAACCCTGTTTTTATAATATCATGACTTGATTTGCTACACGCCTAGTGGTCTCAGGAAAACTGTGCAGTGCTCTCAAATGTATAGAACATAATTCTAAAAATATTTTTTTGCTTTACTCACAGAATTGAATGATGGACCCCCGTACCAGTGCCCAGGACGTAATGCGATGTGACCTGTGTGAGACCGCTGTGGTACAGATGCACTGTGATTCATGTCTTGTCAACCTGTGTACAGCTTGTGTAGGCAAACACATGATATCTGATGAATCCAAGGATCACAAAGTTGTTAAATTACAGGCCAGGAAATCTACCCCCCTCTACCCTGAATGTAAATCTCATAACAAGGAACAATGTGAAATGTACTGTAAACAATGTGATAAACCTGCCTGTCTTAGCTGCCTTGCATCAAAACAACATTTAGGTCATGAATTATCTAAAATCTTGCGAGTTCTGGATGAAAAGAGGGACAAGATTATAAAAGAAAGAATTCATTTAACTGATACAATTTATCCAACTTACCAAGACATTGCCTCTGATGTACAAAACAGAGTAATTCAGTTAGAAAAAGATTATGATGATCTCTCAACAGCCATAACAAAACATGGAGAGGACTGGCACAGAGAAATTGACAAACTTGTCAAGAAACTTAAAGCTGAAGTTGATGATATAAAAAACACACAGACACATACTCTTTAAAAACATCTGGATGAACTAAAGAAGACAATGTCTGAAATCAAGGATGAAATCGATTCAGTTGAAATTGCTTCAGACACAAATGACTTGTCAAAGCTATCTTGTGTTATATCCAATGTACAAAAATACAGAAATCTTCCCGACAAAATTATTCCATCTTTATCAAAATTCATTCCAGGTAAAATTCACAAAGTAGAACTAAGTAAACTGTTTGGAGCCTTGTCAGCAAATTCTTTAATATCGGTTAAACATGATTACGACATGAAGACAACACAAAAATCAAAAGAAGCTGGATTCTCTCCTCAAATAAAACGAGTGTTTGATGTACCAGAGATTGTCAACACCATAGCCACTTGTGGTAACGAACTTTTCAGTAGCAATGTGCACCTTTGCAATGTGGCTTGTGTGAGTGATGAAGAAATCTGGACAAGCGGAGAAGACAGCACCATGAGACTCTTCAGCTGCATTAAGAGATCACTAATCAAGTCAATCACAACCAAATCAGGGAACATACCATGTGACATGGCAGTGACAAAAAGTGGAGATCTAGTTTATACTGATTACTGGGATAGAACTGTGAACATTGTGAAGAATGAGAAGATAGAGGAGGTGATCAGACTACAGAACTGGAGTCCTAGTGGTATCTGCAGCACCTTCTTTGGTGACCTCCTGATTATCATGTACAGTATTGATGATAAACAAACAAAAGTTGTCCTTTAGTGTGGATCCACAGAGAAACAGAGCATACAATTTGACGATCAAAGTAAACCACTCTTTTCTTCTGGAAGATCCATTACTGAGAACAAGAACATGGATATATGTGTGACTGATAATAGAGGAGTGGTGGTGGTCAATCAGGCCGGGAAACTGAGATTCAGGTACAATGGAAACAAACCACTTGTATCCTCCTTTCACCCACAAGGAATCACCACAGACAGCCAGAGTCACATCCTTATAGCTGATTTTTACAATGACTGTGTCCACATCATAGACCAGGATGGACATTTTCTTCGTTACATAGACTATGGACTTAGTAAACCCCATGGACTGTGTACAGATTCCAATGACAATCTATTTGTTGCTCAGTTGTTACACAGACAAGTGAAGAAAATCAAATATACGAGGGTTGTCCAGGGCGTTCGTGCACAAATGCTTAATTTTCTTAGTAAAGTCCGCATTGACAAACGTGTACGATAATCTCTTTATATATACCATGATTTAGTAAATAAATGAAAAATAAAAAAAAAAAAACAGTGCACTCTATGCTATGAACATTACAGGTGTAAATAGTTTGCATATGCAAGCTGCACTGCCCAGTCTGAGAGCTTAATTTTATTATAACGTCTTAAATATGGATTTTGAATTTTTATAGCATATTTATGAACACACGCTATTAATTTTTTGATTATTCCACACTGCTAAGTGTTTGCAATAATATTAATGTTTAGACGAAAATTGATTTTCAAAATTTTAAACATCGTTGAAATATGGTATACACCAAGTACAAATGGACTAATTATATTACACGTACAGTAAAAAAATCAAGTTGATTGAATAAATACTTTGTGTCTAACATTGTTTCAACCATAATAATCCATAATTTACAACTTACTGAACTGTGACGCAATATACACTTAATGTTCACGCCATAGAAATATTACTTTACCTTTTCCTCACAAGCACTTTACAGCATGGTACAACTTTCTCTAAAGTAAAGCGTTAATAATTATGACGTGTAATATTTTAATGCGATCGTGAGTTTTCTTTTTTTCTTAATGAGATTTAAGCAATTATAAAATAAAATGGGTGATTGTGTGGTTCAAAGAGTATACGCGTGATTTTGCGTTAGAAATAGGAAATGGTTTATGCATTAGCATGTGTGACTGCGGGGAAGGGGGTTAATATACTCTTAGCTGCAGATCTGTAGCGTTATGGTTTTATATTTTTGTCTTTGACCATAATGTTACAGATCCCGTACGTAATGCAAAAAAGGTGCAATTTACGGCGCAATATTTTTTGCGCACTTTTGGGGAGAATTTCTTCACTTTCTAGCATTGGTCAATCAACTACCTTTCACTCCCTAATTCTAGACACATTCTGTAGCCAATATGTATATTTTATCCACCTCCCAACCATTTATATTTGTCTCTACAGGCAATAAACTCGCTTGAAGTGAATTTTCAGCAATCTAACAAATAATTTTAATCAAGCGAGTTTATCACTTGTAGAGACGACTATAAAGGGTTGAGAGATAGATAAAACATAAAGATTAATTAAATAATGTGTCTAGAATTAGAGAGTGAAAGGAAGTTAATTGACCGATGCTGGAAAGTCGAGAAATTCTCCATAAAAATGCGCAAAAAATATTGCGCCGTAAATTGCACCTTTTTGCATTACGGGATCTGTAGCTTGAGATAAAAGATACTACAGAGTCTGACACATCGGTTCCATATTTGGATATTTTAATTGAAAAAGTGTTCATGGTAATCTAACAACCAAGCTATATGATAAACGTGATGACTTTAACTGTTCTATTGTCAGCTTCCAGTATACCTCCAATATACTTGCATACGGAGAGTGCTTATCTCAGTTGATTCGATACGCAAGAGCATGCTCTACGTACAGGTATAAACAATTTCTAAAACAAGGTAAATTATTGACAAGCAAATTGATGAAACAAGAATATCAGCAGGCACGTTTAAAGTCATCATTTTGTAAGTTCTATGGTCAATACAATGACCTTGTAAGCAAATACAATTTATCATTAAGTCAAATGATGACTGACGTTTTTCATACTTATAATTAGTCCATTATTCATACATTGAATTGACGGCGGATTTTTCCGTTATTTCCTGATCATGACGAGTACACGGCGGGTGTGACTGGTAAGCAGGTGATCCTCATCCTCCATGACACCTGATGCCACCTCTGATGTTTCGGAGGTACGTGTTTGCTCTGCTCCTATTTTATACTGTTTTATGGACTTTGAGACTGAATACTGTTCGTTATCTCCATATCCTTCTTTGACGACCAATTAATTAATTTAAAGTGCCCATGAGACAATATCCATACCCATGTACTGAAGTCCAAATTTTGCCTGTTCATGTATGTATTTTATATTATACTAAATGGAAAAAGTCCTGTTTTCTGATTTCATGTTATTTTACATTCCACAGACTATTTCAGTTCGATCCATGTAACAGTCCTCGTACCTCACTTTTATTAAATGAAACACGTACTAACACAGACCTCTAATGGAAGTCCTTGTATAATCTTAAAATTAATGCAAGGTCTCCAAAAGATGTTTTATACTTCATATGAACTGCTGTAGGCATATGAATTAACTCAACAAAATGTTTTTTTTTTAGAATCATCAACCATGGAACAGAAACGTGTTTAAAACAAAAAGACATTAATTGATTAATGTTCATGCATGTATATGCTGGACTTCCAGAAAATATTTTTATAAAAAATCTTCCGAAAGTGTCTGTTCAACCCTTTCATATTTAAATTTTACATTGTACAGTCATGTATATGATGAAGATGTCAGTAAGTATATTTCAAAATATGGCCGAATACTATTGAATTGTGTTGTTTTTGCAGTTACAACAATGACATTAATGAAAGCATAAGTTTTACGTAAATCCAATTTTTATTTATAAATGAAAACATGACAAGGATTCTCATCATAATGATAAAATAATTTGTTAATGACATAATTGTAAAATAATTGTATCACAACGGGAATAACTTAAATCAAAACCCATGGATTATAATAACACAGTCCTCTTTAATACAGGTACATGAAATGTGAATTTAAAAAAAATTATACAGGTTCATGAAATTTTATCGATTTACTAAGCATACTTCAATTGATCTCTATACCTTTTTATCGTAACCTTTTTATCATCTCTAAACCAATACATGGTCTCACTACATTCATGTTTATCTGTTAATTAAAAATCTCAGTAAATGTACATGCTAATAAATGTACATTACAATGTTACATGCATACTGAACAATCAAATGCAATGATTTTCATACCTAAATTTATATTTACCCCCCAAAACACTGATGGCTGTACTAAACTTTTCTAAGCTTTACACCTTGAAGTTTTTTGAAATGCATAGTTTTACTTTAAGAACATTTTTCTCTGATAAATATAATGGGTAATGCCTTTCGTTAAATGACTAATGACGTTGGCACTGCATACTTAACTGTCCATTACGTTGAAAAGCTTTAGTTTTAAAATACCGTACTATTTATGAAAATAAATACATGTAACTTACCTGCACATCTAAAGTGCTTCAGATAGTATCAATCAAAAATAGTCTTCAAACATGCAAGGTTTTTTGTGGTAACAAAAATGCAGATTAAAAAAAAAGTTCACAACAAATCTCTGTTAGCAATCTCAAAAAAGATATCAAGGTTATTTCCCTTTCACCAACTAAGATTTGCACAAAGCTACTTTTTGGTATTACCAACTTGGGCCTAAGCACATTATTTTACAATGAAAACCCCTTTTCAGTACATGTATAATAACCAACTTGGACTGCTTAATCCATAAAACTGTAATCAAACTTAATATGTTTACTTGATTAAATTAACAAAATGCAAATAAAAATTGTTTTCATGATACACATTAATTACATGAAGAAAAACCCTAAAAAATAAATGAAATGTTCAAACTAAATAGGAGGAATAATAATATCACTGATTATGTGTAACAAAATCTGTGAGATGAGATGGGCACTGCTGACTTTGTGCGACCCTGTTATTGGGGGGGGGGGGGGGGGGGGGGGGGCTCTGGCTTGCATGTTCTACTATGACTGAGCTTTTCCTAGTTCAGTCCTTGCACCGTGGTTTGTAATATTTCTAGGAGTGATCCGTCGTCAAGCATAGTAAGTAGGGGACACTAGAATATCAGTTAATATGACCAGTTGATCGTCTGTAAACATTTGTTTGTGATCATGCCAATTGTCGTGGTGTGTTCTACGGAAGTTTGATAGAATTTTCTTTACAGTCATCTGCAAAATACCAAAGAGCAATTATTTATTAATAAAAAATCAGAACTGGGTATATTGTGTATTGCTCGGTTCCCTAAATGTTCAGACCATCAAGACACTGATGCGCAAATTTCGCTTTTCCTTATTATAAATCAAGGTCATATTGGGTGTGATCTTCCATTGAACTGACTGAAGCAAGTTCTACTGTCCGTTGAACTAGCTAAAGTAAGTTTCTACTAACCTTATTCTTGAAAGTTGTAAGGTACTAACCAGATATGGTTGAAGTGAATGTAAGATTCTGCTGACCTAAACTGGATGAGATAAATGTGAGGTTCCACTGACTAGAATTGACGTAAATTCCGAACAGGAAGAATTGGTTGAGATGAACTTGTTCCAATTACCATCATTGTTTGAAGTGAGTTTGCTAGTTTCTACCAACTTAAATTTGTTGAGATGAGTTTAAGGATCTACTGACCTGTATTGGTTGACATGAGTGTAAGGATCTACTGACCTGTATTGGTTGACAAGAGTGTATGGATCTACTGACCTGTATTGGTTGACACCAGTGTAAGGATTTACAAACATGTATTGGTTGACACGAGTGTAAGGATTTACAAACATGTATTGGTTGACACGAGTGTAAGGATTTACAAACATATTGGTTGACACGAGTGTAAGGATCTACTGACCTGTATTGGTTGACACCAGTGTAAGGATCTACTGACCTGTATTGGTTGACATGAGTGTAAGGATCTACTGACATGTATTGGTTGACATGAGTGTAAGGATCTACTGACCTGTATTGGTTGACACCAGTGTAAGGATCTACTGACCTGTATTGGTTGACACCAGTGTAAGGATCTACTGACCTGTATCGGTTGACACGAGTGAAAGGATATATTGACCTGTATTGGTTGACACGAGTGTAAGACCATATTGACCTGTATTGATTGACATGAGTGTAAGAATCTACTGACCTGTATTGGTTGAGTGTAAGTTTAAACCTGTATTGGTTGACACCAGTGTAAGGATCTACTGACCTGTATTGGTTGACACTAGTGTTAGGATCTACTGACCTGTATTGGTTGACACTAGTGTAAGGATCTACTGACCTGTATTGGTTGACATTAGTGTAAGGGTCTTCTGACCTGTATTGGTTGACACCAGCGTAAGGATCTACTGACCTGTATTGGTTGACACCAGTGTAAGGATCTACTGACCTGTATTGGTTGACACTAGTGTTAGGATCTACTGACCTGTATTGGTTGACACTAGTGTAAGGATCTACTGACCTGTATTGGTTGACATTAGTGTAAGGGTCTTCTGACCTGTATTGGTTGACACCAGCGTAAGGATCTACTGACCTGTATTGGTTGACACCAGTGTAAGGATCTACTGACCTGTATTGGTTGACACGAGTGTAAGGATCTACTGACCTGTATTTGTTGACATGAGTGTAAGGATCTACTGACCTGTATTGGTTGACATGAGTGTAAGTATCCACTGACCTGTATTGGTTGACACCAGTGTAAGGATCTACTGACATGTATTGGTTGACATGAGTGTAAGTATCCACTGACCTGTATTGGTTGACACGAGTGTAAGGATCTACTGACCTGTATTGGTTGACATGAGTGTAAGGATCTACTGACCTGTATTGGTTGACACTAGTGTTAATATCTACTGACCTGTATTGGGTGACATTAGTGTAAGGGTCTTCTGACCTGTATTGGTTGACATGAGTGTAAGGATCGACTAACCTGTATTGGTTGACATGAGTGTAAGGATCGACTAACCTGTATTGGTTGACATGAGTGTAAGGATCTATTGACCTATATTGGTTGACATGAGTGTAAGGATCTACTGACCTGTATTGCTTAACAAGAGTGTAAGGATCTACTGACATGTATTGGTTGACATGAGTGTAAGGATCTACTGACCTGTATTGGTTGACACTAGTGTTAGGATCTACTGACATGTATGGGTTGACATGAGTGTAAGGATCTACTGACCTGTATTGGTTGACACGAGTGTAAGTTTTTACTGACCTGAATTGGTTGAGGATCGTTTACATGGTTACTAAGGTCCATAAGCGTCTGTGGTATGAACTCAGGTACATTGTAAGGATAGGCTTCCACTAGAGCACTAAGACCCAGGATACCAGCATGACGCTTTATTAGGGCCCCAGAGGCATCGAGTCCGCTAACTTACGCTTCTTCATCTTGTTCTTACTTTAAAGTGTTCTAAATAAATTTAAAAATTGTAGATATATTTTTACTTTTTGTTAATAAATAAATAATCAATACAGCCCCACCCTAACACCAGAACCTCTGACCCTGGGGCTATAAAAATCCCAAGTCTGAAGAGCCATTCTTGCTCATCATAACTACGTACCTAGTTAGTTTATTTAATACCCAGAAGCAGAAAGGATTTTCAAAAAATTAATGAATTTTTCACTAAATTATCAATAGAGCCCCGCCTTAAGACCAGAACCCCCGACCCTGGGGCCAAAAGTTCCCTATTTTGGAAAAGGCATTCTTGCTCAATATAACTATGTACTTGTTTAGTTTATTTAATACCCAGGAGCAGAGAAGATTTTCAGAGAACTAATGTATTTTCACTAAATAATCAAAACAGCCCCGCCCTTACACCGAATCCCCCGACCCCAGGGCCATAAATTTCACAGTTCTAGAAGAGGCATGTTTGCTCATTTTAACTATGTATTTAGTTAGTTTATTTAATACCCAGGAGCAGAGAAGATTATCAAAGAAATAATGCATTTTCACTATATAATCTATATAGCCCCGCCCTAGCCCTAGATCCCCCGACCCTTGGGCCATGAATTTCACAATTTTTGCAGAGGACTCATTGCAAATTACAATACTTTGACTGCTTGATGTCCAGGAGTAATGAAGAAGATTTTTAAATATTGCACTAATTTAAGGGTTTTGGTCCCACCCCTCGGGCACCAAGGGGACAGGGACCATGAAATTCATAATTTCTGTTTCCCTTTACCCATAAATGCTTTATACCAAAATTGGTTTAAAGTGGTTGAGCGGTTGCAGAGAGAAAACGGAAAATGTTCAAATGTAAACACACGACGCACGACGACAGACGAAAACGGATAGAAATAGGTCACCTGAATTTACTCAGATGACCTAATAAAACGTATGCATAACTTAAGAAGAAATTACCAGCATGTATTTGTCCATATCAGACTAGAAATCCATAATGAACTAATCCACTCTCATTGTAATGGCTGTCATCTCCCTCACCCTCAATACAAATATATTCAACAATTATAATACCTGCGTACTCATCCTACATTGATGTTTAAATACCAATTATCTGTTGAAATTTTAAAACACAAAATCATATACAATACTACGTAGGATTTCATTTTCACTTTTGTAACAAAAGTTGTTCCTGAAGTTGACACACCTGACAAGAGTTAATATTTAAGATTCTGAACCCTAATGCAATAGTCTAGCAAAAAATTTAGCGAAATATGATAATTGATCGATTAGCAGTCTGACGACGGATAGTTAGAAAAATTCACTTAAGCTTGAACCTTACCCCCCGTTCACACAGAGCTGCGATTCTACGGCGATCATACCGATCAAGCCACGATCTGAAAAAGTTTTGGATCGGGGCAGATCGCAGTCGATCGGCGTCTAAATAGAGCAATTTGGCAAATTATGGTCTTCGTAACGACCGTGCTACGATGTCCCTACGTCAAACGCGTTGCTAATACGCTTCCACTACGATGTCACGCAGACTGTTGCCGACAAGCGGCCGTGTTTACTGCGTTTACGCTACGCTGCCACTACGGCATTGAAGACCATACTACGACGCTACACAGACTTAGATGACTGTACCGCGATGTCGCTACGGTGGTGCCGATCATATTACGATTGCATTACGCTTCTAGTACGATTTTGGTGATGATGGAAATTTATCTTGCAACCGCAGATTTTTGTAGTGCGACCGGTTTTTTTGCGGCCTTTACCACATTGTTTACGGGCATTTTCAATTATAACTGTAAAAAGATGTGAAAAGTCTCAGTTGCAAATGATCATCAAGTATAGTGTCACCCTTTACATGTAGTTTACAGATGATGATTGGTCAAATATCAACGCTATAAGAACAAACTTCTGCCTGATAGGTCGTGATATGATCGGCGTAAGGTCATTGTAGGTCTTCGTAGGATCTTCAGGAACGTAGAGAGATCGTAGTGAGAACGTAGTACAAACGTAGAGGGAGCGTTGTATGAGCGTGCTCATTAATTTCCTACGCTCTTACGGCGCTTTTACTACGATCACGAAGATCTCTCTACGATGCTTTCGCGCTGCTTGTACGATTGCGGCGCTTCTACTACGCTCCTTTTACGACTTAAGCCCGATTCATGTTGGCCACGATCCCGCTACGCTTGTTTTGAACATGTTCAAAATAAGCGTGGTGAGAGCGTAGAGCTCTCCGATCATGAAGACCCTACTGCGATCATACTACGCTTATGACGACTCCACGACGTTTCTCCTGCGATTTGTTACTATCGTCCACGCTTTCGACCAAGCTTTGATCGTAGTAGAAGCGGCGTCTATGTGTGAACGGGGGGGGGGGGGGTCAGGTAAGATAAACTGCAGTTATTAATATTTACATTAGACAAGTGCTGAAACCCTATCGATGTATATTATACTAAAACATGTGTAACAACAGATAAAAAGCACTGAAGTAAGAAGCACACGATACCCCATGACAATCAGGTACTCAGGTGAACCCTAAGGTTGTAAGATAGAAACACGAGACAGGTACACTTTGAACGGAGGAGGGGGGTTTCCTTAATAACAATACTAACATGTATTCATCATAAGCATTTTGCAAATTAATCTTGTAAAAGTTAAAATGAAAAATACTTTAAAATACCCCTTTTTAATTTTGAAAAATTTGCAAAGAAATAACCCACATATCAAACATTATTACTGGCAAGAAGAGCTGAAAAATAATTTTAAAGAAATTGAATTAAAGTTATCAAACATAAATTATGCAAATATAAGAGAAAAATCTGTGTATTATAAGAATCAAGAAAGTTTCAAAAGACCTAAAATACAATCATACTGCGAGACAGTGAACAAGCTAGTTTAGAGAATTTGTGCCCCCCGCTTAAGAAAAATGCTCAGATTTGGGCTCGACCCCCCGCTCTCCTGGATATGCAGAATTATTAATTATTATTAATGTACTGAAGGAAATAAAAATGCCAATGTGGATACATCATAACTTTTTTTATTTCATATGCTTAATACTATCATCAAGAAAGTAAAAAAAAGGGTTCATCTAGGACGTGAGCCCTCGGGCCTCCCATATATGATGACCGAGGATTATACCTCTAGAACATCGAGGAACTTGACTTTCCAGTTAACTATATGCAAACAGTAGATCACATTTACATGCTCATATCATGTTATACATTGTCAAAATTTTTCAAAAAAAAAGTGTTTAGTTTACCTTTTACCAAAACCTTTTGATCTCAAAATTAATAGGCATCCTAGGCTCTTTAGGCCATTGGGAGTTTTCAGATAAAATCTAATTGTAAAAGCTACAGGTCTTCTAGAGATATCGCGCGGGAACGAAAGTGTTAAAACAGAAAGAATGTTTGAATTTATGACCTTTTAACCTCAAAATCAATAGACCTTCCGGATCCTTTTTGTGATTTGCATGAAATTAAGGTTTATTGTTTTCTTTTAAAATAAAATTATTGTGATTTAAACAGATTAGAGAAAACATTGGCATACATAATCACAAGAGAAGCATTTATAAGTCGAAAGAAGTCAGACAGACATAAATAATTATAGAATTTGATGAAATGTGCTATCGCTGCTGGTGTTTATGCGAAACCTGATTTGCGTTTTGTTGCGATTGATACGGAAATGCTCATAAAGTACTTCTTGAATAATAGAGGCGAATAGGGGGAGTATAATCCAAAGACACTTTGTCAACTTCGCAATGTCATTACATAATATATTATCACTTATATTTTAAAAGTATGTGAAAAGGAAAAAAGAGCTTCACAAACGATTCGAACTCTCTCCAAAGCTCATGATAGTCGCAAGACCGAACGCTTTACCCACTATATGCAACAAAGTTCTTGTCATCCTCTGTAAATCTGCTTTCAATAAACGAATTTGTTGAAGCAAATAATGATTTTCCACTTATCGTATGATTTATCATTGGGTCGCATTTTTGGGGCTTACTTCTTTCATGCAGGATAAGAGATAACGAACAGTATTCAATATCAGTCCTTAAAACAATGCAAAATAGGAGCAGAGCAAACACGGGCCTCCAAAACAGCAAAGGTGGGATCAGGTGCCATGGAGGAGTGAACATTCCCTGCTGACCGGTCACACCCGCCGTGTGCTCCTTGTCATGATCGGGAAATAACGGGAAAATCTGTCGTCAATTCAATGTATATTGGGCTAACAATAAGTATGAAAAACGTCAGTCAGCATTTAACTCAATGATAAATTGTTTTTGCTGACAAGGTCATTGTATCGACCATGAACTTACGAAATGATGCCTTTAAACGAAACTGCTGATATTCCTGTTTCATCAACTTCTTTGATAATAATTCATCCAATTTAGAGGCCGTTGTTTTATATTAAGTTTGATTATGGAATGCTCCGTTTATTTGATCAATACATAGGACTCACAGCGGTTGTAACCGATCAACAAGGGAAGCTTACTCCTCCTACGCACCTGTTTCCACCTCTGGTATTTCCGGGGGTTCCGCATTTATCCTGCCCACGTATTTGTAGATTTTTCGGCATCAAGGAATGTTCGTTATCCTCACTTTTTGTAAATCCAGAAATCTTCGATTTTCAAATAATCTGGATTTAGACACCGTCAATTAAAATCAAGCCTTAGAATAAAATCTTGATCCACTGTTAATAAAAAAAAAAATTATAATGGCTATATTCAATTAATATAAACGTAACCATTATCCACTAAATATGCTTTTAAAAAACAAATTTAATCAGTATATCATTTAGTAAAAGAAATAAATCAAATTTGTTCTCTCTCTCTCATAAATCTATATAATAAGGAGATAATAATGCAATTTTTGTTATATTTCACCTATTTTCACATCATTATCAGACAGCATAACTTAAAACTTAGAATTAGAAACAGAATCTATAAATATTGAAGTGTAATCAAAATTTGGCATTATCCCCATAGACAGATCCAGCAAAGCGGAAATGGGTCAGGGAATCAAAACCTGATAAGTTTTTTTTTTTTTTAAATTTACTAAAATTATTAAGAATATTAAGGTAAACATATAAAAATTCCTTTGGACACCCCATCCCCCTTAAGAAACACAAACTCTTATAGTCATTCTTCGATAAAAGGACATATTCAAGAATAGTTAAATGATTTTCAGCGATATGCTATGACTTCTATGAAAAAAGATCTATGCATTTCTTCGAGTTATTGCGGGTTGTTTCTTTCATAAAAGGTTCAGAATGTTTGTACTTTCCTTCGTACCCCAGTAACTAACCAAGAAGTCACACTTCTCTTTCTATAATTTATATAAACACATATGTATCATACTCCGAGCATAAAATGCTCCTGGTGAGCATATGACTTATGGACCTCCTATGTATGTAATTTATATAATTAATTCATTAACAGTCTAAAACAAAAAAAAATGAAGCATATATTTTGTTTTCAAAATCTTTGAGGAAAAAACTTTTGTTCCTATAATTTTTCCCAAGGATGAAAAACCTTGCATATAATACCACCAGTCATATTTCTGGGTTGAAATGTAAGAGGAGACTGGGAAAGGAAATATTGTACAAAACTGTAGTGAACACAATGCATCACAGTAAATTATTTAACTTACTAGTATTGCATTAAATGCTATATGTATACTCGAAAAAAGTTTAGCTATCATGACAACAAAGATAGCTTCCTGGTATTTTCCACGCAAACATAAAATAGCTCTCGAAAAGTTACTGAGTATGGAGATGTATATTTGATGCAATTGTCAAGATACAATAAAACTCGTTTAGTACGAACACGGATATAGCGAATTCACGGATAAAGCGAAGTTTTTATTGAACCCCGGCATAATTCTTAACAAATTTTTGTAAAATTTACGGTTATAACGAACTCTGATATAACGAATTTACGGATATAGCGAACTGATTTTGAGTCCCGTTGAGGTTAAATGTAATGAAATTTACATCTTTTAAAACGAACCTTCAAAGGTTATTTTTAAAAAATGATGAATTGAACTTACTTTATTTCCTTTTAGCACTTGTATATAAAATTCAATTCATTAAAAAACCTTAGTTATCGAAGATATGTCTTGTAATATTTGCTTCACTAACATAGTTGGTAGTAATACTTGAAGAAAAACATGCATAGTTCGAATTCGCTATAATGGTTATACGAATTCGTTTTACGGATTTAACGAATTACGGATATAGCGAATTAAATTCACCGGTCCCCAGGACTTCGCTATAACCGACTTTTACTGTATAAAGAAGACCTTGTGGTCAAATCTGATAAGTTACGTCGGATAAAGATTCATATGAAACATAACAATAAATGTTTTATTGAAGATAATGTCAACTGTCCAATCAAGTGGATGAATAGTCGAAAAATGACCTCCAGAGGCGTGAAAAACGCGTGCTAGCGCTGTTTAAGGAGGAGAAGATGACACAAAAATATGGTAATCTTAATATATACCAAAAAGGCGTCTCATATTAGTTGAAGCAGTTTTATTTTAGAAAGGAAACGTATATAAATGACATTTTTTGTCTTAATGTGAAGACAGAAAATTTGAATGATCCATAAAAATACAGCCAGTGATCCAAATCAAGTAGATTTTTGATTAGCACTTTGTATATAGTGAAGGTGGTATTTAAATCAACCATAGACCAGGAAGTTTAAACACCTGATATATATGTAGATAACACTGGTGTATCATATGATCAGAGTACATAGACTGTATTCGGAGATCAATCAACAGGACTGCTACTATTACTGAAGTCAGGTAAGGAATGTTCAAATTTTCTGAGCCTATGATTGATTGATTGATTGATAGTATAATGTTTAACGTCCCTCTCCAGAATATTTCACTGATATGGAGACGTCACCATTGCCGGTGAAGGGCTGCAAATTCAAGCCTATGCTCGGCACTTACGGCCTTTGAGCAGGGAGGGATCTTTATCGTGCCACACCTGCTGTGACACGGGGCCTCGGTTTATACGGTCTCATCCGAAGGACCGCCCCATTTAGTCGCCTTTTACGACAAGCAAGGGGGGTACTGAGGACCTATTCTAACCCGGATCCCCACGGGGTTCTGAGCCTATGAGAACAATACTCTAGTCAAATGTTTAAATTTTCTGAGCATATGAAAACAATACTAGAGTCTTTAACTTAAGGGAACAACATTTTACCAACATACACTCAATTAACCTTATACTTGAAATATGAGTACTTGTTTTCAACACGTATATCTGCATAATGGCCCCAACGAACTGTGGTTTATGGAGTCCGAAAAATGCATGTTGCACTCAAACCAAATCAATAAGTGTATATTTCTTAACATGTTGATTTTTTTTGTTTCAGCCACAAAAGCCTATGATGGACCCCCGTAGCAGTGCCCAGGACGTGAAGAGATGTGACCTGTGTGAAACTGATGTGGTACAGATGCACTGTGATACATGTCTAGTTCAGCTGTGTACAGGTTGTGTAGGAAAACATATGTTAGCTGATGAATCCAAGGATCACAAAGTCGTTAAATTTCAGGCCAGAAAATCCACTCCCCTCTACCCTGGATGTTCATCTCACGACAAAGAACGATGTGAAATGTACTGTAAACAATGTGACATTCCTGTCTGTCTTAGCTGCCTTGCATCCAAACAACATTTAGGTCATGAATTATCTAAAATCTTACAAGTTCTGGGTGAGAAGAAAGACAAGATTACAGAAGAAAGAAATGAATTAAATGATACAATTTATCCTACCTACCAGTACATTGCATCTGATGTACAAAACAGAATGAGTCAGTTAGAAAAGGAATATGGGGATCTCTCAACAGTCATAACAAAACATGGAGAGGACTGGCACAGAGAAATTGACACACTTGTCAAGAAACTAAAGGTTGAGATTTGTGAGATAAAAAACACTCAGTTACAAACTCTACAGAAACATTTGGATGAAATAAACAAGACAATTTCTGACATCAAAGAAGAAATCAATTCAATAGATGTTGCTAAAGACACGTTAAGACTATTAAGTATCACATCCAAAATACATATTTACAGAAACCTTCCATACAAAATAATACCATCTTTTTCCAAATTCATTCCAGGAAAAATCCAAGGAGAAGAACTCATTAAACCGTTTGGAACCTTATCATCAAGTTCTCTAACATTTGATGAACATGGCTACAGCATGGAGACAACACAGAAATCACCAGAAGCTGGATCCTCACCTCCAGTCAAAAAGCTGCTTGATGAACCAGAGACTGTCATCACCATAGACACTGGGTATAAATACCTTTACAACGTGGCCTGTGTGAGTGATGAAGAAATCTGGACAAGTGGGCATACCAGCACCATGAAACTCTTCAGCATCAATCAGGGATCGCTACTCAAGTCAATCAGAACCAAGTCAGGGAACATACCATGGGATATTGCAGTGACAAAATGTGAGGATTTACTTTATACTGATTACATTTATAGAACAGTGAACATTATGAAAAATGAGAAGACAGAGGAGGTGATCGGACTACAGAACTGGAAACCTTGGGGTGTCTGTTGTACCTTTTTTGGTGATCTCCTGGTTATCATGACCAGTGATGATTACAAACAAACAAAAGTTGTCCGTTACTCTGGCTCCACAGAGAAACAAACTATTCAGTTTGATGTTAAAGGTGAACCTCTCTATTCCTCAGGCTCATTTTTGATTAAATACATGTACATTTCTGAGAACAGGAACCTAGATATCTGTGTGTCTGACAGTGGAGCTAATGCAGTAGTTGTGGTCAATCAGGTCGGGAAACTGAAATTCAGGTACACTGGGCATACTCCTGCTCAAAAGAACAAACCATTCAATCCACGAGGTATCACCACAGACAGTCAGAGTCACATCCTAACAGCTGATGATAAAAATGACTGTGTCCACATCTTAGACCAGAATGGGCATTTCCTCCGTTACATAGACTGTGGACTGAGTTATCCATTTGGACTGTGTATGGATACAAATGACAATCTGTTTATTTCTTTAGAATATAGAAGGAACAAACTAAGACAAAAGAGACGAGAGGGATTCGCCCAACTGATAAAAGTTAAATATCTACAGTGAAATCTATTACCGATATTAGTTACAGTAAAATATGACAATAATTTATCTTGTCAAATGTATCACGAAGATTCAATCTTAGTTAATGATCATACTGTTTCTCATCAAAGAAACATATGAGTATAAAGCAGCAGAAAGATCAATATTCTTAAATTGTACATCATATTCGCGCCAAAGTTTACTCTGTCCCTTTGAATCTTATATAGTCTGCTTGAAAAGGCCAAGAAAAGTCCATTCTTTTTCTCGACACCAGAATAGAGGCTCGAATCTGTGATTATGGATTTTCCGCCTATGATACAGGTATATAATATCATTAATTTCTATGTTAAAATGTTATATTATGTATTTTATTATTTATGCTACCATATAGCGGGTTATTTTAGAGGGGTGCTAATTTTGGCTTTTTTTGGCGTTTTGATGGTAGCCCGCTAAAATTCTAATCGCTAAAATATTCAGTACTCTTTTTAGTGTTCATCTACAAAGAGTAGAAATCCTGTTTCCGCATAAATAAACTACATCAAAATTATTGGCAAACCTTAGAACAGCCAAATCGCCAAATTTTACACTTACAAAGAAAACTCGCTATACGGTATTCAAATGATTAATTCATTTTATTTTTTTTTTATTTATTTCTTTTAATTTCGTTCAATTCATATGCTGAAATTATATATAAAGGAAGGCACATCATGCCTTAAAAATGCGTTTCTTTCTGTATTTTTTTTTTGTCTATATTTTAATTAAAATGAAACTTGAAAGTCTCATTCTGTATGTCTTTTTTATTTGTTTAAATGGGGATAAGACATAAAGATGAAAGAAAATAACAGGAAATATTTAGTAAAAATGGAGCGCAAACAGTGCCAACTTTGAAAGCATAAAATAAAAATACTAGACATAGAATCTCAAATCGTTACATACAATCGTTATTTTAATGTCTGAAGTTTTATTTACATGTATTCTGGTGCTTGGAATTTTTGATTAAACGTACGATGTAGGCACAAGGCGTTTGAAAATTACCTTTGTTATCCTCTAAAATTGGAGGATAAACTATCCCGCAATTGCAACTCGGTCTCCATATATGGTAAAAAAAAATCAGCCGCTATATTGAAATAGCTAACCTGCAAAAACGGAGGCCGCTCAGATCCGTTAAATGTATCAGATCTATGCAACAATCTCGTATTTAAAGATTGAAGGGCAATATGAAATCCATCTGTCCTTCTGTATTCATTATTCCAGAAGTGAAAAAAAAGAATTAGATAGACTACATGATCACTACATTTTAAGTACTGGTCCCTGCTTACAAAACAGGTAAAAACTGTTACACTGTCTTCATTTGCAAGGTTTATCATATTAATTGTATTTTAGAAGAACTTGGATTTAATACTACAGGTGATATTCCAACTTATACTCAAATTTCCCTTTCTAAGGAAGAAATTCTTCAAATTCATATGTCAGTTTTGAATATTTTTAAGATCCCAAAGAACCAAAATGATTTTTAACTACCAAATATATATTGGATTTCCAAAACTTCATAAAAATCCTTACAAAGATATATTGTGGGTTCCAGTAAATGTTCAACCAAGCCTCTTTCTTCGCTCTTCACTGAGATATTAACATTAGTAAAGGAGAAACCTTAAGAGTACCTTGCAACAATATATTCAAGAAGTGGTGTAAATCAGATATGAATACTTAAAATTTCCGAGGAATATTTGGACAATTTGAAATCACAAGGTTTTACCAAAATCAACAGCCTAAAAACTAACGACTTTTCACATTTATATACAACCATTCCACACGAAAAATTAAAGTCTAGGGGTTTTGATGTCATTGACAGCTGCTATTTCAATAAAAACTGAACTTGTAAATTTGCTTACATGTACCTTGTTATGGTCATTTGCAAAATTATTTTGTTAAAAAGCACTCCGATTGTACACACAAGTACTCTGAAGTAAGTTGACATCAAAAAGAAAAGATGCTTGAGTTTCTGATTGACAATATCTATGTTGTTTTTGGTGACCAGACCTTCCAACAACCTTATTGTTATTATTTATACACTGAATTGACGACGGATTTTCCCATTATTTCCTGATCATGACAAGGAGCACTTGGAGGATGTTACCGGTCTGCATTGGATGCTCACTCCTCCATGGCACCTGATCCTACATCTGATTTTTCGGAGGTCCGTGTTTGATCGGCTCCTATTTCGTATTGCTTTATGGACGTTTGATCTTGAATACTGTTCGTTATCTCCATATCCTTCTTTCCATACTCAGTTCCTTTAAACGGTGTAAAATGAGTTATCTCTATCTCTTTACGTATAAGTCATTTTTAAATTGTTACAGAAATTTCAGAAGCAGTATTATTCATAAACATTTAATTAATATTCTGTTTCCCTAGAAATAATTTTCAAGGGCGATTATGTAAAGATAACTCTTGTTAATGGATGCGTATTATTTACCAATGAGAATTAGATAGGTATGATGGTAAATATTATTTTTATATATACCTCATATATCTAATTTTATGTGAGATAAACAATAATTGATCTTTCTATTTACCATATAAAAGTATATTCACATAATGATTGACATTATATTCATTTCTGAAAAAGTAAGCAACGCTTTATACTTCAAACTATTTTACAATTGAATTTAATGTCATTGTTTGGAATTTAAAAAATTGAAATTTTGAGCAGAGGGATATTTCACCTCAAAGAAATTCAACAACTTATCTTTTTTATGGAGGAATATATTCATTGCAATCGCGCAAATTATCAAAGATAGGATTTGATTTTTCCTATAAAAAATATGCAATGAAAACCTATTATATTTTTCCTTTAATTACACCGTATCACTTGTAATTTTGACGCTTAATAATAAGGTCAAATTTAGCATATTATGTTAATCGTTTATTGCAATATCCCCTACTATGTTTATATCTGTTTATAAGCTGTCCCTAGCGCTATAGCTTGTGCTAACATCCAAGAGTAACAATTTTTTGCTGTATTTTTTGTTTAATACATAGGCCGTAAGATTGGTCAAAACTCTGTATTTTTAAATTATTTTCTGATTCATGCTTGCAGCTTGACCATTTCTTTCCATCAGTAATTTTTTTTTTAATTTGTAATTTCTACAAGATAGCTGTGTAGCAACTATTAATGATGTAACGCCGCTTATCGATAGAAACATCATTAAGCGTAGCAATGCAATAGAAATATCGGCGTAATATCATTAGCGGTTGCTACATAGCTACAAATTTTGTTTTGTAAAGTTATTTTTTTTTCCAAGACTGGAATTAAAAAGCTTATAAAGCAGAGCACCATCATTAAAAAAAAATTAAATCTTGTGTTAAGTTGAAATATATTTGAACAGAGCATTTGGTCAGAGTGACGTGATTATGTTCAACACTCTTAGATTAAAGAACTGCTAGACCTTATTATTGAAGATGAAAATTGCACTACCTGTTTACGTGTATTAATTAGTGCATAAGATTGTATGATAAAAAAGGAAAATTTAAACACTGATTATTATTTCCTTCACTAACAGACTTAAAAACAAGAAGAATAATTGAAGTATTGTCATTTACATAAATGTAAGTACACCATGTACATGTATTGTCATTTATATTCAATGTTTTGCACCTAAGATAAAATCTGAAGAGATAAAATATGCATCCAACATATCTGTGATTGTTTCTTTGTCACAAATATGCCGTACATGTATATTGTTTTGGTACTAGAGATCAAGATGTTCTAATGAATGTAGCACGAATGAGTTTGTATGATAGTCTTTTTAATGAATCACAATTCATTCTATGTGTGAAATTAAGTTGTTTCTTGTCATTAAACTGAAGATGAACAATTTTGCAAGTCCAAATTTGATTGATGGTCGTAAATGAAAAAAAACAACAAAACAAAACAAAGAATGTTATATGTAGCATTTTATATATAATTCAATCTGTATCAAACTGGAAATCTCATCCCATAGAAAAATTCATTTTCCAAGTAACTTCAAATTGGAACTTCCAAGTTTTTCTTTTAAGAAATGTCCTTGGATCTTAGCGGTCACCTGAACATTATTGGATATACCTGTAACCTTTTTTTCTGTCTGTCCATTACCTTTAAATTACTATCAAAACATCTGGAATTGGTATAGCATTTTCATCCAGATAATTTTTTTTTTCGAAATTGACTTACAGATGCTGCACAGTTGAGGACAGGTTGTCCTAACAATGCCATATAGGTATAAAATTGTGGCTTTGACCCTGATTTCTGAGAAGGCATGCGCGATCTGAAGTCAAAATTTTGCCTGTCCATGTATTATTTCATATTATACTAAATGAAACAAGAGGCTCATGGGCCACATCGCTCACCTGAGAAGCTTTGACCATTCTGTTTTTTTACCAGATTTCCCCCTTGTTATACATAATGCATCCCCACCCTACCCCACTGATCAAAATTTAGACATTTTGAAATCTACACTACCCCATAATTCTTCCATGGGCACATATGTTTCAGCTTTTTTGGCCCAGTGGTTCTTGAGAAGATTTTCAAAGATTTTTCCTATATATTTCTATATAAAACTTTGATTCCCCATTGTGGCACCGCCCTCCCCCCGGGGGGTCATTATTTGAACAATTATTAGAATCTACATTATACCAGGATGCTTCCACATAAGTTTCAGCTTTTCTGGCCCAGTGGTTCTTGAGAAGAAGATTTTCAAAGATTTTTCCTATATATTTCTATGTAAAACTTTGATACCCCATTGTGGCCCCACCCTTCCCCCGGGGGTCATGATTTGTACAATTTAGAATCTACACTACACCAGGATGCTTCCACATAAGTTTCAGCTTTTCTGGCCCAGTGGTTCTTGAGAAGAAGATTTTCAAAGAATTTTCCTATATATTTCTATATAAAACTTTGATTCCCCATTGTGGCCCCGCCCTACACCCGGGGGTCATGATTTGAACAATTTAGAATCTACACTACCCCAGGATGCTTCCACATAAGTTTCAGCTTTACTGGCCCAGTGGTTCTTGAGAAGAAGATTTTTTAATGACCCAACCATATTTTTGTCTTTTCTTGATTATCTCCCCTTGCGAGGGAATATGTCCCTTCATTTTAACAATTTAAATTCCCCTTCACCCAAGGATGCTTTTACCAAGTTTG